TGTCCCCTGACGAAATTTCGTCGGGAGAGGTCTGCGCACATTTGCCGACGAAATTTTGTGAAATTTCGTTGGGAGAGGTTGTTTTGTTTTTTATCTTAAAATTTTTAAAATTTTAAAATATAAAATTAGTTTCTTTACTTTTGTTTTTTGGCCAACTTCTTTAATTTAATGCATGTAATTAGGTAATACCTTAGCCTTTTTTAAATTTTTATTTATTTATAATTACTTTAATTAGTAATTATGATTTAATTATTATTTATTTAGTGAATATTTAAATATTTTACTGATTTTGCAAATTACTTGGTAAATAGAAATTAACTGTTTTGAATTATTTTGTGGACTTTGTTTTTTGTTCTTTGATATTGAATAATCATTAAAATACGTGCGTACTTGTACAATACGTGTGTTATTTGTTTGCTTTCATTATAACGAGTCTTTAAGACGTATACGGAAAACATAAGTATTATTGAAATATACGTACGTACGTGTATAATACGACTATTAAATGAGGAAATGCTAAATTTTTATACGGGTAACAACTCTGGGAAAGTGAAAAATCAAAAGGGGACAATAGCTATATCTTGGTAATGGCCTAAACGTAATGGATACTGCTCAAGACTAGTCTTATTGACAAAGGAAAATTAGGGAGAAAAAATTTAAAAAATAAAAAGGTACCTATTAGATATTTAAAGATCCCAAGCCGTGCGGCTATACTCTACAAATAGAATATTTTAAAGGTACAGCCGCCCGGCTATACTCTGTAAATACCATAATCTGAATTTCCCTTTTTTAATTACTTATGTTTTAATTATTGGTCATTTAGTGAATAATTAGTATTTAATACTAATTATTTACTAGAGAAATAATAGTTAGAACATAATTACTAATGAAAGTAATGAAATCAGGCTAAGATATTATCCAATAACTAAAAAGAAATTTTTTTAAAAAAATTATTGACCTAAAAATACCAAGTTTATATTTATTTTTTGAAGAAAACCTCTCCCGACGAAATTTCGTCGGCAGAGATCCATGTCAACAAAATTTGCCAGATTAGGTTTCCCCCCACGACATTTCGTCGGCAGAGGTATTTTCGTCGGGAGAGATTTGCACAACCTTTGTCAACGAAATTTCGTGAAATTGCGTCGGGATAGGTTGTTTTGCTTTTTATCTTTAAATTTTTAAAATTTTAAAATATAAAATTAGTTTCTTTACTTCTGTTTTTTGGCCAACTTCTTTAATTTAATACATGTAATTAGGTAATACCTTAGCCTTTTTTTTAAAAATTACTTTAATTAGGAATTATATTTTAATTGTTATTTATTTAGTGAATATTTAAATATTTTACTGATTTCGTAAATTACTTGGTAAATAATAATGAATTGTTTTGAATTATTTTGTGGACTTTGTTTTTTGTTCTTTGATATTGAATAATCATTAAAATACATGCGTACTTGTACAATACGTGTGTAATACGTTTGCTTTCATTATATTGAGTCTTTAAGACGTATACGAAAAACGAAAGTATTATTAAAAAAATATATACGTATGTGTATAATACGAGTATTAAATGAGGAAATGCTAAATTCTTTATATGGGTAATAACTCTGGGAAAGTGACAAATAAAAAGGGGACAATAGCTGTACCTTGGTAATGACTTAAAGGTAATGGATACTGCTCAAGACTAGTCTAATCGACAAAGGAAAATCATGGAGAAAAAATTTAAAAAACAAAAAGGCACCCATTAGATATTTAAAGACCCCAAGCCACGCGTCTATACTCTACAAATAGAATATTCTAAAGGTACAGCCGCCCGGCTATACTCTATAAATACCATAATCTAAATTTCTCTTTTTTAATTACTTATGTTTTAATTATTGGTCACTTAGTGAATAATTAGTATTTAATACTAATTATTTACTAGAGAAATAATAGTTAGAACATAATTACTAATGAAAGTAATTAAATCAGGCTAGGATATTATTCAATTACTAAAAAGAATTTTTTTTAAAAAAATTATTGACCTAAAAATACCAAGTTTATATTTATTTTTTGAAGAAAACCTCTCCCAACGAAATTTCGACGAAATTTCGTCGGCAGAGGTATTTTCGTCGGGAGAGATCTGTGCAACCTTTGCCGACGACATTTCATGAAATTTCGTCGGGAGAGGTTGTTTTGCTTTTTATCTTTAAATTTTTAAATATAAAATTAGTTTCTTTACTTCTGTTTTTTGGCCAACTTCTTTAATTTAATACATGTAATTAGGTAATACCTTAGCCTTTTTTAAAAAATTATTTTAATTAGTAATTATATTTTAATTGTTATTTATTTAGTGAATATTTAAATATTTTACTGATTTCGTAAATTAATTGGTAAATAGTAATTAATTGTTTTGAATTATTTTGTGGACTTTGTTTTTTGTTCTTTGATATTGAATAATCATTAAAATACGTGTGTACTTGTACAATACGTGTGTTATACGTTTGCTTTCATTATATTGAGTCTTTAAGTCGTATACGGAAAACGGAAGTATTATTAAAAAATACATACGTACGTGTATAATACGAGTATTAAATGAGGAAATGCTAAATTCTTTATACGGGTAATAACTCTGGGAAAGTGCAAAATCAAAAAGGGACAATAGCTATACCTTGGTAATGGCCTAAACGTAATGGATACTGCTCCAGACTAGTCTAATCGACAAAGGAAAATCAGGGAAAAAAAATTTTAAAAACAAAAAGGCTAGATATTTAAAGACCCCAAGCCACGCGTCTATACTCTACAAATAGAATATTTTAAAGGTACAACCACCCGGCTATACTCTATAAATACCATAATCTAAATTTCCCTTTTTTAATTACTTATGTTTTAATTATTGGTCACTTAGTGAATAATTTGTATTTAATACTAATTATTTACTAGAGAAATAATAGTTAGAACATAATTACTAATGAAAGTAATTAAATCAGGCTAAGATATTATTCAATTACTAAAAAGAATTTTTTTAAAAAAAATTATTGACCTAAAAATACCAAGTTTATATTTATTTTTTTGAAGAAAACCTCTCCCGATGAAATTTGGTCGGCAGAGATCTATGCCGACAAAATTTACCGGATTAGATTTCCCCCGACGAAATTTCGTCGGCAGAAGTGTTTTCGTCAGGAGAGATCTGTGCAACCTTTGTCGACGAAATTTCATGAAATTTCGTCGGGAGAGGTTGTTTTGCTTTTTATCTTTAAATTTTTAAAATTTTAAAATATAAAATTAGTTTCTTTACTTCTGTTTTTTGGCCAACTTCTTTAATTTAATACATGTAATTAGGTAATACCTTAGCCTCTTTTTTTATAATTATTTTAATTAGTAATTATGTTTTAACTGTTATTTATTTAGTGAATATTTAAATATTTTACTGATTTCGTAAATTACTTGGTAAATAGTAATTAATTGTTTTGAATTATTTTGTGGACTTTGTTTTTTGTTCTTTGATATTGAATAATCATTAAAATACGTGTGTAATTGTACAATACGTGTGTTATACGTTTGCTTTCATTATAACGATTCTTTAAGACGTATACAGAAAACGGAAGTATTATTGAAAAATACGTACGTACGTATATAATACGAGTATTAAATAAGAAAATGCTAAATTCTTTATACGGGTAATAACTTTGGGAAAGTGAAAAATCAAAAGGGGACAATAACTATACCTTGATAATGGCTTAAACGTAATGGATACTGCTCCAAACTAGTCTTATCGACAAAGGAAAATCAGAGAGAAAAAATTTTAAAAACAAAAAGGCACCCAGTAGATATTTAAAGACCCCAAGCCGCGCGGCTACACTCTACAAATAGAATATTTTAAAAGTACAGCCACCCAACTATACTCTATAAATACCATAATCTGAATTTCCCTTTTTTAATTACTTATGTTTTAATTATTGGTCACTTAGTGAATAATTAGTATTTAATACAAATTATTCACTACAGAAATAATAATTAGAACATAATTACTAACTAGCCCGTTGGCACATGCTCACGTATATGCCAATTGGTTTTATTTTTAGAATTAAGAAAAGATAACATGAGTAGTTATGTTACATAAAAGTATGATTATCTGATTTTGTTTTTAATTTTAAATTTTTTTAAAAAATTAAAATGTATTTTAGAATTAAAAAATATAATGGGTAGTTGTGTTCCATAAAAATAGGATCAATTATCTAATTTTTCTTTTAATTTTAATTTTTTTAATATGAAAAAGTGTGAATTTACCATATTATCCTTATTTAATTAATAATTTCATATATGAAAGTAGTAGAATCAGGCTAAGATATTATTCAATTACTGAAAATAATTTTTTTTATAAAAATTATTGACCTAAAGATACCAAGTTTATGTTTAATTTTTGAAGAAAACCTCTCCCAACGAAATTTCGTCGGCAGAGATCTATGCCGATAAAATTTGCCGGATTAGGTTTTCCCCGACTAAATTTTGTCGGCAGAGTTCTATGCCGACAAAATATGCCGGATTAGGTTTCCCCCGACGAAATTTAGTCGGCAGAGGTATTTCATCGGGAGAGGTCTGCGCACCTGTGCTTCTTTATTAATTTTTCACTGGTGCTTCTTTAGCTCACCAAACGATGGGTTTTGCAGACAGAAACAGTTGACTTGTCTGATCAAAAGAGCAGGTCAGATGGTTCTCGGAAATATTTCAGGGAAAGTAACATTGAGAGGCATCGTTCAATTGGTTCAGATGGGCTTCCTTGTGTTGGTCAGGTTAGCATTCATGTTCTGGAATTTTATTTTCTGGTCTATATTGTATTGTTCCGTATTGTGTTCAACCCATATAGTTGGGATCACGGTAACTGGAAATGATGGTCTGAGTAAATTCACAAAGAAATGTATAAATGTACATGTACAGAGAGAAAATTTAATTGATGGAATGACGCAAATGTGGGATGTGAGAGGCTGGTTACACGGCCATGTTTTTCCGATAGCCTAGCCTCTCACATCCTGCACTGCTGGCCCTATGTATGCATGTACTGACTCTATTCTGTGCTAAATTTCAGACAATAAAACCAGATGAAGAATATTATAGCATCTATAATGAGGTAAATTAATGAGCAACATGCCGTCAAACAAAAAGGTTCAGAGGATGTTATCGTTGACTATGTTACAATAGATGGGAAGAAGCATCTTCAGAATCATCCGCAGAAGGTAAGTGGACTGTTAGAGTTCTTAGTTTGTATATGTATCTTCCGATTTAGGAAGAGATGTATTTTCTGGAGATTTCAGCAAGAGAGAATGAAGAGAAAAATGAGGAAGGCACTGTTCTATTAAATTCTTACAAAAACTGCAGCTTACATAGTGTGACTGACGTAGAGAGAAATGTGATTCTCTTCTAACAGAATTACAACTGTCATCCTATTAGGTGCTTACACGTGTCATACTAGATCTAAGCTAGAGAGTCCACCTAGACTATGATCTAATGGCTCTCGTTACATCATTTAGAATAGACAGAACAAGAAATAGAAAATTACTTCTGCTCTAACAAATCAGGCAGAACTGAACAGTCAGGCAGAACTGAACAGTCAGGCAGAACTGAACAGTCAGGCAGAACTGAACAGTCAGGCAGAACTCAACAACTCAGACAGAACTGGACTAATTCAGCCAGAACAGGATTAAAACAGCCAGAACAGGAGAAAATCAGCCAGAACAGGATTATATTTCAACATGGACAACCCAATTGCAATATTAAGCTACTTGATGTGTCATTGTTGAGTGTGTACATCTATATTCAAGAATTCTTTATCCCATAATTTATATTTTACATAATAGCATATGTTTTTACTGTCTGGTTTTCCTTTGTTATGCCCTTTTTGTGTTGCAGGGTTTCATTTCCTGTGTTAAATTCTTTTCTTTTGAGCAGGTGAACATAAGCTTTTGACACCCTAGAAACCCTGTCATTGGTGATAAGTTTAGCAGCCGACATGGACAAAAAGGTGTTTGCTCCCAGTTGTGGCCTGATATTGATATGCCATTTTCTGAGGTTACGGGAATGCGTCCAGATCTTATCATCAATCCACATGCATTTCCTTCAAGCATGACAATAGGAATGCTCTTGGAATCGATTGCTGCAAAGGTACTAGCACCTAAAGAATTTTCCTTTTATGATTTGTTAACAGTCT